GGGAGACCATCAGAATGGAGGCCCTGCTTCACTTTACTCGGGGACCTGACAAAATGAAAAAGTGGTAACTAGGGCTACGTCTTCACTACGCGCCTGTATCTGCGGGTAGAAATCGATCTCTCGGGGATCGAATTATCGCGTCTCATCAGGACGCAACAATCGATCCACCAGCGCAGGTAGGAGTAAGCACCGTCGACGGGGGAGCCGCGGCGGTCGATTTGCCGCCGTCTTCACAGCGGGGTAAGTCGGCTCGGATACATCGAATTCAGTTACGCTATTCGCGTAGCTGAATTTGCGTATCTTAAATCAATCCCTCCCCCCCAGTGAAGACGTAGCCTAGGAGAGGTATCCGCTTCTTTATGGTAATAGGATGGCTCTATATCATATCTGATCCTTTACTCTGATTACAAGAATGTCAATAGCTGCCCCAACCCATACGTGGCCTTTGGGAAGTCCATAATTAAGCATCAAGCATTAATACTCATGATTTACATCACTTATTTATTAATTCCAATCTATGAATGTGGTGGAACTGCTGAGATACTGCATAGCAACCCAATTGCTAAAGCCCGCCCCAAAGTTCCTTCTTTCAGAACCCTGTGGCATATTGCACCTGTTTGTGGTTCCTCGTTAGTCTCTCAAAATCAGGGTGCAAAATATCTGACCTGGGATTCTCTCCTTAGGCCTATTCAGGTAAATCCTAGACTTCAGCATAACTACTCCCACAAAGCCTCCACCTAATATAAGGCCCTGAACTGTAGCAAGCTTAATAACCCATTTATTTGTGTTCACCTCCTTGCCCCTCCATGCATGTTCCAAGCTAATAAGCAATACTCTGATGATGACATTTTACCTCTAGCGAGTATAAAATTGCCCACAAGACATGTGACTAGGTCATAGATCATAAAATCAGGTCAGCGTCAACGGAAGTGAGAGTTTGGAGAGAGTCTTGTCCCCCCTCTCCCCATCTGCAGAAGCCACAAGCTGTCTTCTCTCCAGGCTCCTTGGATCTTTGAGCCTGTCCCTCCTGAGGTTGTGTGGCCCAGTTCTTGTTTCTTACATTCTCCTTTTCCAGAAGAATTAGAGGCTGTTGCTCCTGAATTTTAGTGTTTAATTCCCCAGCCTTCTCCACACACTGGGTGAGTTTAATTCTCCCTCCCATTACACCTAAATCACTAGATTTCCTAATTCCCCAAAATGTGCTTTTGTGATGTCACAGATCTGGGTAGCTAAGCCTTTGACCTGCCTCCATGGTCTGCTCAAGGAATGGCCTCTCAGGTATCGGGCATCTACCAAGCCCCTCTGTATGGAAAGGGCCCCACATGCCTCTCCTTTTTGACCAGGGTTTGAGGATTGCAGATTGTCCTGCACTGTGTTCACTGGATTAACGTCCAGTTCCTGTGCTTTGCTTTCTCTCCAAGGGCTGTGAGGTGTGTGTGTGTGCGATAGAGGTGGGAATTTTGGTGATACTTGTATGATGCCAATACACACCTCAGTTTCCCTCTGTGATTGGTATTGCTATGATTATAAAGAGCAGGAGACATGAGGTGTTTTGTCACGTAGCTGTCATGGGGTGATATGAATGGGTCATTAAGGATGGGCTGGGACCAACCTACATCAATGGAATACCCGACAGAGACAAGGGAATAATTGTCACCTGTCCATGGGAGGATCTCCGCTTGGCTGAGTGAAGCATATATGGACTCGTTATTCTTTTGGGAGAAGGAAGAACTGGGCTCGCAGACGCAGGGATCTCTACCGGAGTGAAGACAAATGGACAGGCACAGTCAAAGGAAACACAACTGTTTTCTACAGCAGCATGGCTCAAGGGCATTGGACTATATTGTCTTCTTTGCTTCTCTGTGCTAATCTAAGGACATTCCAATGCTGTGTTTCAGTTGACTAATAAACCCTGCTATGTTTTAAAAGTCTGCCCAATGTCACAACAAAAACTTGCTCTGTGCATTGAATGAGGAACAGTCTCTGAACAGGAGTGTCGTTCAGCTGGACCTGCTGGCAGAGCTCACAGGTTGAAATAGGAGTGTTGAAGCCAGAGGCTCAGTTTTAGGTGTTGAAGCTACATGGCCTATCCTTGTGGAAGAGTGGGACCCCTTGGGGGTCTAGTGCACTCAAGGGGCACCTCCCAAGAACTGTTTAAAAGCCAGGGTATTGCACAGATCCTATGGATCCATGACAGTGTCAGTGTGCCTTCTGGGGAAAAGATATAAAACAAGAAAAGCATCTAACTACGTATGTACCATCGGCCCCTCATCAGTCCTCATGGGAATCCCTGATCTGTTCCAAAGTGCATTAAAAGCTTACCTCTTGGTTATCAGGTCATGTCAGTTTGTAGCCCAAAAAACGCCCCTCAGTCAGCTCAAACTCATTTGTTTCTCCCCAGAAAGTCTCTGTCTGTCTTCTTCAGTTTCCCGAAAGAGGTAAAATAAGTCACTGCCCCTTTCTGTATGGGACAAAGCTTTGAAAGATGGAGATCTTCAGAACCAGCCTGGAGATCTGTCGTTCATCACCCCTTAGTGACACCACATTGCACAGGAAACCCATCCCTCAGCCCTCCCCGGTATCATCTGGCCCATCTCAGCATCATAGTCTGTGAAGTATTCATGCTTTCAAGGGCTGGCTCAAATATACAGATAACAGTCATAAGTAGGGCCAGTGTTTGCTGGCAATTAAAACAGAGTAATTGACAAATATGAGCAATATATAATCCTTTGCAGCATGAAAGTGCATTGGCGGGAGGGGACAGGAGCCAGCTGTGTGGGGGAGGTGAGGCCCAGACACTGGGCATTGAGAGCCTTGAACCAGCTGTATGCAGGGGAGATGAGCAGGGGAGATGTGCTGTGGACGCAGCCGAGACCTGGTGCGAGTGCCATCCGCTGTACAGCATGATGAGGGAGCCCGGCATCCCACTGCCAAGTGCCCCACCTGCCCAGGGGAAGCTCCACAGTGGTTTTGCTGAGTCCAGACTTGTATGAGGAGGGCAGAAATTGGCAGCAAGTCTCAACAGCAGCCAGCCCCCAGCCTCTGCCCTGTGTCCTGGGGAGGAGTCAGGTGTCTCCAGGCAGAAATCTGGGGGGGGGGGTTGTCATGACCCTGTGTGCCCTGCCCACATATCACCTCTGCCCCGCACCCTGGGGATGAGTCAGGTGTCTCTGGGCAGAAATCTGGGGGGTTGTGACCCTGCATGCCCCACCCACCCTCTGATCAGGAATTCCGGATATGAAGGGTGATTCCAGAAATGAAGAGTAATTTTGGAAAAAATGCAGTAATAGCGTCAATTTCCAGAAAACACTGGCCTTAGTCATGACATTAAATACAATAGTCTAAAGATATATGCCTGTGTTCATCAGATCTGTCACTCTGCCTTCTCATAGGTCACTCGGCTGGTATATTCTACCCCTTCCCCCATTCTGTGTCTGTCTTGGCTATTTAGATTGTAAATTCTTCAGGGCATGAGCCATCTACTATTCTGGGTTTGTACTGTGCCTAGAACAATGGGAATCCACTGTTAGTTGATCGTTAGGAACTAAGATAATGAATATGATTTATAATAATAATATCTCTCCTGCCACTTTGAGCCAAGGAAGCTGGCCTTGGGATGTTACTACTTAAAAATGGGCTGGGGTTAAAACCATGGAATATTTCTTGTGACAAGTATCCCACAAATTCCACAGACCTTTCTTGTTTTCTTTGCCTTGAGCAGGGTTTCCAGTTTCCAAACCTGATGTGATCTCGCAGCTGGAACGAGGGGAAGAGCCGTGGGTCCTGCACTTTCACGGCTCTGAGAAAGAAATGCTCCCGAGAGTTGCCTGCACAGGTGAGGAATTGGTTAAACCAACTCAAAAATTGTCTGTGAATACAGGAAACATTTGGGATGCCCTACAAAGATGTTGTGAGCTCTCCAAGTTTAGGATTGTTCCTTGCAGATGTGGAATCATTAGGGAGATATCACTCGTGGCTTCTCACCTACCCTGACTGACAACTGGCAGCAGGTCCCTCCCCAATCTCACTTTCCCCTGAGTGTTCTGGTGAGATGCGGACTCAGAACTGATCACTTCCTCACTGGGGAAAGGTTTAGGGATAATCAGCTCCTGATAGGTTTGATCTCTCCTGTACATATTTTGGTTTGTTCATCCCTTTTTGCATTCCTCTCTCTGAGATTTCCATTCTCTCTGGTGCAGGCAGTGACCTATGTCTGGATTCTCTTATGTCTCCCATCAGGTGTTGGGATGGTGAGTGAGAACAAGGAGAAACCCCAGCAGGAAGATGGTGAGCAAGTAGAATCCCATGGGATGTTATCAGGAAGATCCAAAGGGAACGATTCCAGGAGTTGTGCACTCCCAGAAAAAGCAAAAACCTGTGAGAGTCAGCACAGGCCAGAGGGAAACTTCAGTAGCCACTCAGACCTTATTACACATGAGAGAATCCACTTGAAAAAGACACGCTACACATGCCACGAGTGTGGGAAAAGCTTCAATGGGAGCTCTGACTTTCTCACACATCAGAGAATCCACACAGGAGAGATGCCCTACACATGCTCTGAGTGCGGGAAAAGCTTCAATCGGAGCTCACACCTTATCACACATCGTAGAATCCACACAGGAGAGAGACCCTACACGTGTTCTGAGTGTGGGAAAAGCTTCAATCAGAGCTCTGCCCTTATCACACATAAGAGAATCCACACGGGTGAGAAACCATATGGATGCTCTGAGTGTGGGAAATGCTTCAATCGGAGCTCACACCTTATCATACATAGGAGAATCCACACGGGTGAGAAACCTTATGGATGCTCTGTGTGTGGGAAATGTTTCATTGGTAGGTCAGTCCTCATCTCACATCAGCGAATCCACACGGGAGAGACTCCCTACACATGCTCTGACTGTGGGAAACGCTTCAAGCGGAGCGCTAACCTTATCACACATCAGAGAATCCACACAGGAGAGACGCCCTACACATGCTCTGAGTGTGGGAAAAGCTTCAAACACAGCTCACAACTTATCACACATCAGAGAATCCACACTGGTGAGAAACCTTATGGATGCTCTGAGT